TCCTACTGTTTAAGTGTACTACGCAATGGATTTAATTCTAATGTATACAGAGAATGCGAAGTAAAATCTAATGCAGCCCTAATTTATTTCGGTAGTCAATTTCCCCATATATCCTCATGACTCACTGACTTTATGTCTGCTTTATTTCACAATTTCTTATTTTTAATAAGAAACTTATGTATAATACAGTTTTTAAGTGAGAAACCCAACTACTTTGTCATCTTTTTCTTGACAAAACTTGGTATTCAGCATATAGTTTATTTTTCTCATATAATCCTTCATCAGCAGTTTTTGAAACCCTGAAAGGACGAGAAAAAGTAGCAGTTTAAAATATGGTTACGTGGATAGGTGGAATGATACACCACTGGAAGAATACAAATAATTAATAACTACACTTACCTTCTTACGCATTACTAATTATAAGCGGGTTATACATAAGCGTACAAGATAACGGAAAGAACACGATTCTACTTGTATACATTGAGAATCTGCAATGAACATTCAGCCTTCGAAAATATCTCGTATCTTATGAATAAAACATGAAATGAACTGTAAGTTAGCATCAAAGTTTGAATGGAATAATATTCCACATACTGGCAGAAAAAAAACAACATAAAAGCGTTTTATTCATATATACTAATGTTTATTCTTTGTCTAAAACTAACGCAGTGCTGACAAATACATAAAATGATCGAGAAAACAAACTGAATTACCTAACAATACAATCAGGCCATAATAAGAATAGAAGTAAAACAACTCCTTTGAACTCCATGAGTTTAAAGATTATTTAGTTTCAGAGCAACATACTTTTGGTCATTAGTCATGTGAGTAAATAAACTGTTTTATAGTCTATAAAGTTGTCTACGATTTCACCAATTCTTCTAGTGTCATATGTAGTTCACACTACTTTCTATCTCTATGTTGAAAAACTTTATTCTCTTTGAAATTTTAATAGATAGTTTAGTGGAATTGTTTTAGTGTAGTCTGTCACGACTTGCCTATTTATGCAAAGCTGTTTGGAATAAAAATCCTTCTAACAGTGAGTATAGAATATTTTTGCAGATTATGATGAATACTACTACTCAACTATGCTGTTCGTATCTGTATGCATATTCACTACTATGGCCTGCTTAAAACTTGGGTTGCCAAAAAGTTTTCATCGTTATCATCAAATTACATCGTTTGTATTTGTTTTTACTATTTAACTGGCAATATATCCAGAAATGTACTCTCACGCATTTTCAAAATGTTTTCAACTTATGTTAGTTGGATGCAGGCAATGGACAGGAAGCCCTAGACCTAGATTTCGTGCTTGTTGGCACTCGTCCATCGAGGTTGCTGATATGCCTTGCTGACAAGTGCCAGGAAGCACGAGACCTAGGTTCAGCGCTTCCTGATGATTGCCTCCATCCAAATAACATCTACAATAGTGTATCGCGAAGCTGAGCTGCCTAGTCTGGTAGCTAAATTGCAAAATGATCGATAGAATTCAGTCAGCACATAGGAATAGATAACATAAAGTTGATAACCCTTCAGTAACCAGTTTATATCTCTTCAAATTATCGTCACACAAGTTAACGACCGAACTGTAAAAAAATACACGATAAGTGGCAGTGCGCTCTTGAGTTCACAACAGCTCACGACATAAATATCACAAGGATAGTCGTCAGGACGTGTAAGTTTTTAGGCTGGCTAAATAATCCATCACCACTAAACTTACAAGTACTACTTCTATTCGTTCCCTCATGCAACAACTTACCCGCAAACTTGACAACAACCTAAAAATAACAAGTCGTTGCATATCATTGCTTTCCATACTGTTATTATTAACAATATTTAACCGTAATGGTTATTTAATTTGAAAAAAACTGTACAATGAGCAAATTTGTAAATATCACACTGAAAATACGTTACTGTATTAAAAATTATTTTTTGGAATAAAGTGATTATTATTACTGTTGCTGTTTAAAGTAGTATATTTACCAAGCATTACAGGCAAATGATGTTGTCTTAGAAGCATCAGTAAAGGTATTTAGTAAGCTACTTCAAAAAGTTAGTAATTTTAACATCCAGTAGCAGTTGTTTTTTTCTTCTTATATAGTTATTTATTTTTCATGATTACAGAAAACAGTTTGTGAAGGTCAAAACATCAGAAATCAAGGTTATTTTAGAACTTGTGATATAAATTCAGTTAGAATTCAGTAGGATATTTAGTATAATCACTTTAGTGGTAATAACAAGTAATAGAAACAAATCTGTAGTCTTTGGATTTGTATTTACAGGTACTCATTAGTGTTTATTGCTTGAAAACAACACATACATCCTGTTAATATTCAAACTTCCATGTATCATATTGATTGGTCAACACAGAGTAAGCAATTTCATGATGTCTAGTCCTGAGGGCCGACTGAATTCTGTCAACTCTTGTGCAATTAGGCTGCCAAGTTAGGAGGCTCGCTGTGACGGTGTACTTTGATAAAGGCAACTGACAAGAAGCTTCCAACTAACTAGTGCACACCTGTTATATCAAATGGATCTATAATCGTGAGACTTCACTGACTTTGATATGTTTTTTGTCAGCCCATTTTTAACATTGTGATTAGCTCACAATTTCCTTATCAGTCTTGAGTCTTCTGTAAAGTTATGATATACTAATCATCTTAAACATCTGAATAGATTAGTACTAGCATGTGAAGTAGTTGGGCATTAGCCTATAGCGACAACCAAGAATATATACGCCTAGTAGTAAATATCTTAATTAATTTTGCAGTAAAAACTTGATATAATTCATTCCCTGTATACAATATACTGATAAACTCCTATGCATTAGTAAATAAATTTATTACTTCTTACGATATAAAACAGAAAGGAAAATCATTACAACTTGCAGTCATTAGAATGAATAAAACTCATCGATAAGAATAATCTATCCTGTACTTCCGGTATTGAATCCGAATTACTCATCATAGTCTATCCTTCATCATCATCAACTTTCCATACATCTTCACAGTACACAGAAGGAAATAGTTAGTTTCTTTTGAATATCCTAGGACTGATTTATTTGTAATTTAAGAGAAAAGTAAAACGAGTTAATTTATTGTCATCCATTGGTGCGAAAACACATGAACAAATATATTTCCTATGTTATTTGTCGCATCACTTCGTACCTTTAAAGCTCTTCTAACTAACCTATGTGATTCAAAGGAAAAATAATCTTAGTAAAAAGTTTCCAGTCAGTATATCTTCATTATGTGACTTCAAGTGAATGTAGACATTAAAAGCAAAAAATAAGTTAGAACTTTTTTTCTCTATTTGTCAGACATAGTTAGTTAGATTGTCAATAATCTCAGCAAAATTCAACCCTTGTTTATGATTTTCTCAACCTACATTATTACTTTCCTAGTTTAATATCACTTGTCGATTCCAGCTTATACTAGATGATGGTTATGATGATAACAGCAAGAGTAAAAATGATCGATTATTCGATTCATTGTGAGTATTCTTTATACCTCTGCCCGCCCACAGTTTTCATGACTTACGTTTCTACATCACTGTTTGTCTGTAACTGCCTATATGTCCCATAAATAAGCATAATTTCTAATCGATAGGAAAGAAATTCATGTCGATAGCTTAGGCCTACTGATATCATTGTCTACTGTTATGTTTGCAAACTTAAGCTACCTGAACTTCTGGCATACTTATGTGCGCATGCATTGGTAATATTTTTCAACTATAATTATATGATGAATTTTTCCTTCTTACTATGTGAGATAGATGCACATTAATCAGTATATTTGAACTGTAACTAAGTTTATGCTTTCCACCCACCAAAGTTCTAACTGAATGACATCAATCACACTTAAAAATTGGCCGCTAAGCCAATTGACTGGATAGCATAGTTAACTCTTAACAATGTTGGGTGAATGGAAGCAACCACCAAAAAGCCTTACTTAGTCAAGTCTTCCGTTTTCTGTCTTATATACCATTAAGATGTATAGTTTGCTGTGAAGTGGTCTCAGAAACTGACATTTTCGCATTTAGCAGTGCTTTGTATTCATCAATGTCATCCTAGGAGTGTGATACTATGTGGGGCTAATTCGGATTCTTCTTGGACATTTCATTTAAGCCTCATTCATTTATGTAAGCAAAAACGATAGTTGTGCTCAAAACAACTTTGAAATTCCACTCAACTCTTCAGAATTTTGAGTACCACTGCAAGGTGACCTAACTTTCTTTGCCACTGTAGCCTACTTGTTAAAAAAAATATAACTTTTAAATAGAGAAAGAACAATGATTGGAGCGGAATAGCATGATACCACGTTGCTTTGTTCTTATAGTTCTTTCTACGTTTAAGTTCAAAATGGGGGGTAATCTGTATGAAATATAATTTATATTGGTCAACCATTTGGATTTTCTCAAACTGTATACCCCATATTTGACTAGCATATACTAGAAATCAGTGTAATGGTAAAATTTGAACAATGTGGTAGAACTAAGTTCCACATAAGATCAGTCTATTTGATACACCACATACTGATACAGTATAATGTACTGGATACCGTTTTAAGCATAACAGAGATGATTTAATATCCATTTCTCAACAAAATTTTCAGCAGCACAGTTTTGCTATTAAATGGTTTCATGGTTCACTTTATGAAATTTTATAGTTTATTATCATTTAGCATAAATAACAGAAGGTTGATCTGTGAAGCGAACTAAAGAAATCTGTAAGAAGACAGTTATTTCTTCATCAGTATTTACTAATCTCTTACATAAGATGAAGATGTGATCACTTCTCATAAACTATCAATCTGATTGTATTCAGCTTCAACATGCATATAAAAACACTGAAAAGGATCGTCATGTTCACTTGAAAACATATATGCACATTCAGACAATTTTTTATGTTCCCATAATCGTAGCTGTTTTGGGTTTGCTTTTATCAGTATGTTTTCCCTCCAGCTGTTTGTTCACTTTGCTGTTTGCATTATTTCATTTAGGATAAAAGCTGATCTTTTCACTTCAACTGATCATACAATTCTCACGAATTCCAATTCCTTATCTTCTTCAGACCTACCAAATTATCAATCTCAAAAGCATAATAACTACAACAAAGCCAATAATAACAGTAACTTGATAAGTGAAAAAGAATCTGTTAATAAGAATAAAAACAATCACTCGACAAGTTATATTTCTTCACCCTTACAGGGTAAAAAATGGCCAAGTAAGTTACTTATATACCACGCTTATTACTGACAAGTAGTCTCCTATAGAGGTTTATCAGTATTGATGATTTCAGCTTTGTATTTGACATAAATTAAGTTTGAATTCTGTGACTGATTCCGATCATAGTAAAAACAAATTTTTATCGAGAGTTGATAATGGTTAGCACATATTCTTCATCTATCAAAAGATCCGACCAACTTTATGTATTCTGTTGCCTTCGTAGCAAAATCCATGTGTCGTAGTGTCACCATATCAGTGATCCAGGTGTTGGCTGTAGAGTTTCTTGGGGGGAAGGAGAGTCAATTGGTGCTGTTTTGAACCTTAATTGATTGGAAATGCTGTAACATGTGTTACTCACGCCTTTCTACCGTATGCCTTGTCGTGCATTGATAAATGAAGTAGGTTCAGGCTGGAAAAAGTTTGGGATGGTCAGACTAGAACCTGGCACTACTGCTTGAAATATCTGAATGTTGGCCCTAGACTTGCAGGGAAATGTAGACTTCCAAGCGAAAGCAGAAATCAGTGTTGGGAGACTCTAGGGGATATGGCTCAGAGTCGATGTCTGATGCAGATGTATCCACATATCATCTTAACCATTATCCTGAATTCAGCATTTCTCACTCCTACTTTTGACTGCTTTTGGCCGATTGTTCTTTCTTTCTTCATCTTTCACCTTTCTTCTTCGTTACTTAGTGTGCTGATATGACGTAACGAAACTCGGACCTTTGTGAAGTAATACCTGGCCCTGTGTTGATACTAATGATAATACCAATCTGTAGCATTTTGTTAAGGAAGTGAAGTGGTGATCTCAGTAGGAATGAAATATCTACCGTGTGCAAACTTCAGTCTCTTCCAAACACCCTGGCTAGTATTTTGTATTGAATTTCACATGTGATATTAATGAAATATCGACAAATTCTACTTAATGAAACTACTGAGTGAGGAAATAAGTAATAAGTTTTGAATTTTAGGTAAAACAAGAATATCACAAGTCAGTTGCATTGTAAAACTTCCCTGAATCACGTTTTTGAATAAAATACGTTACCAGCTACCACTTACAACCACATTAAGAAACTGCTGGATTAAATTTTGAAAACACCAGATTTCAGAGTAGTCCCATTATGACATATGCATGTAACAACCAATGGTATACAAAAGAATGAATGAAACATATCCAATTTTTTAAAGTTAATGGGGTTAGTGAGATTAATAATGTCAATTCGTGGTCAATGCTATCTTAAGCATAAAATCCCTGTAAACCTCAACATACATTACTGTATAATGCTCCCTAGTGACATGCTTCCATATGGATATCCTAGAGTTCTAATGAGAAGCCGTGGCCTGTGGGGTCAACCAGCTAGAAGGGAAATGGATGCCAACTGAAGAGGTTGGGTGGTAGTTATGCTATATCTTAACAGAGGTAAGAAGCAGTGAATTATTGAACTCCGACTGAGTTCTGAATGGTTAGCACGTTCGCCATGAAACCTGAAAATCCTGAATTTAATCTTCCGTCGGTTTGTGGGTTACTACTACTGAGGGTTCCCATACCAGGGAGAGAAAGCTGTTTACTGCTCAAGGATTCTCAATGTTTATCAAGCTGATATAAGTCCATGATGACTGCAATCTTAACTATATAATATTAACATTGCCTAGTACTCCATATTTGTTCAATACTCACCTTATCTTTATGAATTTACCATAAACTTTCCAAGACATTTAAATTCATCATCTTTATTTAAAACTATTTTGGTCTATGGGTTTTTACATATCAGACTCCGAAGAAAACATTTACGGATATAGAATAATGATTCATTCCATAGGGTGATTAAAATGAATAACCTTCAGTTCAAGTAACGTATCAGCTGCTTTAATAAAAAATTTTTTAAAATATTATTGAAAATTTTCTGATATTCCTGTACTGTTTCAATGAAAACATTTGCAAATTACTGTAATAGGCGTCATTTGCCAATAACTGGTCTGTGTACACTGCCTAAAGATATCAAAAAATACAATCCAATATTTGCGTTGACAGTGAATAAATAAATAAACATTACTATTACCGCTAGTGATATATGTTGATAACTTTTGCCGAGATTTATTTTCAAAGTACATTTATGTTTTTACCGCTCTAAACTGCACTTTTAAATTTAGTCAATCACATGGTATGATATATGAGAGCTCAAATAGCAACAAGTAAATAATCTAGGAGGATTTTCGTATAAATCCAGTCACAATCCCTATATCTAAAATATTTAATTAGGTTTCCTATGTCTTAATCATAAAAGCATATTTTGCTATGATTTCAGTTTGTTCCGAAAATCAAAGCCATAAATTTTATGGGAAAGCTAAAGAGTAACTGACAGTTAGAAAACTTAGAAATGCTTTAAAGCTTGTGCTTTATCTATACTTATTATTTTCAAATACTTTGTAAATTCTTTTCAGTAAGTTCGAATATACGGACAGCTTCACACTCAATTAAAATAAATTGTCAAGAAAAGTTAAAGGAGTGTAAAGTTAAACAATTGGATCTAAGGCTTCGGAATCCTGAAAAAGTACAGTCAAAACCTCTTATGAATGAAAAATCAGTATCTACAGGTGAACAATTTCATGATAAATTTCAATCCACACAAAACAATCAATTAAATTTGTGTATGTCGCCAAGATGTCCACCAGATGGTGCAGCATTTCATGAAATATCTCCATCTACTGTCAGCAAATCTAAAAAACCTGTAATATATGAAAACTTAATTGACAGGTATTTGTTAGTAGGACATGAGAATTATTTAACTAAAGAGTTTTCAAATCAACCGCTGGTTACTCCTACTGTTACAAGCGTCAATACAAGCACTGTAACTAATGCTACAGGCGCTACAAATTACTACTTAAATAGCAATGTTAAAAACTGTTCAACGGAGAAAGTTCCACAACTTCAAGAAATACAAACTTTGGGTTTGCAAACAAGCAGTGAAACAATGACAGTCACTCCGCATAATCTATCACAGGATTCTCATCTTGTTCATACAGTTATTGATAAGGTAAGTTGAAATAACAGTATTCTGAGTTAATCGTTGTACAGTTTGACAAGGTAACTCGGTTGAGAATGCCTGTGATTCAGAATGTTTCATCTAATAGCAGCCTTCTAATCCAACCCCAACCCTAAAAGAAAGGAGCTGTCAAATTGTATTTTAGTTACCATTACTCGTAAAAGATTAAAAAGCATCTACCGAGTAACTTTCAATTAGTATAGAAGCAAAAAGTGTGATCGTCTTAAACTCATTATAGTGATTACAATGAGAAAGGCAAGAAGTATACAAACAAGTAGCTGTAGATTCAAGCCGGTCATACGACTAGTTAATACCTCTAGTGGTACACTTTGAATTTGTCGGAAACGGTAAGGGGCATCTCCTCTGTTACTTTTTAGTCATTATGGAAGTTTATTGTTAAATTGTATTTCCATTGGGTTCCTAGTATAACATAAAGAGTCAGTAGCACGCCCCCATCGCGCTCTCTTCTCTGCAGTCTTTTCAACCTGGCTCCACGACTACCCACAAGCATTCACTTCTTTAGCACGTGATCTCTTCCATGTCACCCTCAGCCGGAACGCCCAACTCGTCGTTTCCCTTTTCCATTCCACTCCATGCCCTGCACTGGCGCGTGATTTCCCCAGTCAGCCTTCTCAGTGTATGCCCAGTCAAATCCATCTCCACTTTCTTTTGCATATTTTGTTGGGTGATAGGTTCATGCTTTGTTGGTTCGTTGCTAGCTCGCCAGAGTTCCTTGTTGCTTATTCTTTCTGGTTATCTGGTCTTCAGTTTCGTGTGTAGACAGCAGTTAGTTAGGAGTAATTGAATTCAAATGACCATTTTTTAAAAATTTGACCCTTATAGGTTAACCATAAAATGTCTGACATGAGTCTGGAGTTGTTCACATTTACTTTTCAACTTCCTTTCAGCTTCTATAGTGACAGTTACCTACTGTAAATATTTATATCTTGAAAAACTTATCGGATGAGATTTTTTACTTGCTAAGTGTTCATTTACTTGAAACTTAATTGAATTACTTAGACAACGAAATGAATTTAAATTCAATCTTTTATTATTCAAGCCCGATAACTTCTTACCCATCTATTCGGTTGGTTATGATCATTCTAGTTACTTTATATAAATAGAATTTCATAAAATTAGCTTAAAATTCGAAGAAATCTTCTTGTTATTACGAATTCACATTATTAATTAATGCATCATCAAGAACTGGAAGTAACCTCCTATCAGTAAGCTGCAGACAATGAAGAAACAACTGCTCAGTGTTCGTATCATTTTTACCATTACTGGCGCACATCTTTAAGAAAAAATATTCTAAATTTACTTATTTTATCTGTAATGAAAGTTACTGCTTCTGTAGAATTTGTGTCACTTTTAAACTTTTAGTCTCACACTATTTATTTCCATCTTCCTCACAGAAACTTGAAATTTCAAAGATTTAACTGTTTTGTTTAAGCTATACAGATTGGAAAAATTAAATATTCATATAGACATGTATGCTTTTACATTGATACGTGTGCGATAAAATAAATCTCCCATGAGACATGAGGATTTACCCTTAGCCTTTAGACCACTTGAATGATACTGTTAACGCTAATAATCATAGGGACGATGGGAACCCTTCTTTCTTATTTAAAAATTAACTCCTGTGATATTTGACTGTCTAGTCGTGGATGATGAGAAAAATCCATCAAAACTGTCAAGATATACATAGTTCATAGTAATAACAATAATAGTTCCCATACTTACCTATATAACACCATCTATACCCATGATAATTAACCTTACTTATATGAAAATAAAAACAGTTTAGTCGAATCTTATATGATAGTCAAGAAGAAAATAACACAAAATCCATAAACCATATACCAGTCGTTATTATTCTGACTCATATGTAAATAACAGAAATATTTCATCATGAAGTCATTGGGCTCCCTTATCTCTAATTAAATTGAAGTAACCATGTGTGGTATATCAATATTTTTTTTAGATGATTATTTATAGGTAAGGGACATTAAATTCACGTCTCAATTGTGTCCACGTGCATAATCATCAGTCATCAGAATGCATTTCTGTTTATCAGTTTTCAGAGAATTACTTAACTTACTGAGAATACTTTAATTAACATGACTATGTAAAATATATGTAGACTATCAGCCTTATAACGATGGAAGACAGATATATGACTTAAACCTGTTACTCAAAAGTTAGATATTCAAACAATTAGGCTATGAAGCACCAGCTCTTTAATTGGAGATATTGTCAATATATGTATACTAAAGATAAGTTCAAACAACTAACTAAAAATAGATAAATCTTGTTACAGAGATTATACGAAGAGTAAATACGTGTGCAACATTTGATTTCTTCACAAAATCGACTGTATTTCGATGAAGAAAGAATGTGTCACCATAGACTAGTGGTTAAAATTTGCATCTAACCTTTAGAAGATTTTATTCATTTAAATATTATCAACATGTTTTACTGAATAACTTAAAACTGTGTTCACGTCTGGGTGATAGTATAATATGTATCAACTTTTTTGGGTTACGAGGAGTTTACCACTGAATGTTCATAAGTTCCTCCCCTTTTTAAATTCTACCCAAGAGATTTGATTTTTGCCATTTTATTAATTGTATATGTTGTTTGAGTATCTTAGACTGTTATAGGCTAGACTGTACGAGATCCTAATAATATATTGGGATTTTCAACGTAAAATAAGGAATTACATGTGTTACATCACTCCGTAAATCTGTATTGTTATAAAACTTCAAAATTGTGGTTATTACTTTGAATATGTCTTTATGTACATTTATGTATAAATATTGTAGTTAACTTACACATAACAGAATGCATCACAAGGTGATTTTCCTGTGACATGCAATTACACCCTCAGAGGATAATAGAAGGACAGTTACTACATCGACTCTAAAGTACCTAAAAATGTTACATAGTTTTAAATATGAGGTTTACATTCTTCTGAATAATTTCCACTGATTACATATAAATTGTTTGTAAGGGTAATTATTATGAAATAGGGCGATTAATAGTTACTAATTTTTGTAGGTTAGTAAATCATTTTGTTTGCTTTCAGAAATGTTATTAAACATTCTCATTAATATTCTTGATTAAAAAAGCTTTATACATAAATTGCTGACTTATAATCGGAATCACTTTTATTGGAAATTGGAAGTTTAAAACTTGAATAACTGTTTATCGTTGTGAATACCAGAAATGATGTTAGTTAGGCACGTATCTCTACTGACTGCGTTTTGACACTAAAAGATAATTTTTTCAGATAGGTCTACTTTATGCTTTCTGCTAATCTACTGATTAAAATCTTTAGTTCTTGAATCAAAACTACCATGAAAAACCCGTTTCCTAAAGTTACTTATTCTTGATCAGTTTGAAGCTGTTTGACTCCTAACTTTGAAGTGACGGACTTACTCATTCAAAAAGTTACGTCTATATAAACCAAACGAAATTATGAAGCACCCTGTCTATTTCAATGATCATGGATATTTTAATCCTTTTTCTCAGGCATGAAAAACAATGCAGTCAGAAGTTGGACTGTGCTTCACTGGAAAATGAGTTAGTTTGCGAGTGGTCTTTTCATCCAAATCTGTTTAGGAGACTTACTTACATGTTCTGATAACAGCTGAAACCACCTGTATTAGGCTGAAACCAGTTCTTAGACTCAAAAGCCTCAGGTTCAAAGACTATCAGCTATCATCCATGTGTGGCACAATTTATTATGTTGATGTTGTGGCCTCAACGGTTAGTTGAACACAAAGCAAATCCTGGCAGACAAACTCGAGTCCGGCTATCAGACGCGGAAGTGGTTGACGATATGGTTTCCTCAAGAGAAGGAAGTGTACAGTTGGAGTAAGTGTCGGTCTTTGTTAAAGAAGGCTAAGTCACCATTATTATTCGATTTTTACTGAATACGAATAATTTTCATCTTATTTTACACTTTGCTTCATATTTATAGAATAATTTGACATCAAGTTTCCCAAATCACTTTCCATCTGCAAGCAACCAAACTATAAATAATACCCGTAGACCTCTTTCACCAAGCAATTCAGGTAACTGGTTTCCACCACCTCCTCCGCCACCACTTCAGGATTCAATAGCTGATTGTACAGATCTGAGAAGTAAAGCCCCACATTATCATGAACACTGTCGTCCAGATGAAGTTCATCCATCACTTATTAAGACAGTTCATAATCCCACTTTGAGTAATAACGCCAATCTAAATGCATCTTCGGCTACTTCTAAGCTCAACCCTATAACACAAATTATCACATCATTTTCTTTAAACAGCTCCGAGTTATCTCCATCTCCTCCAACACCACCATTACCCCCACCATCTACTCCACCAGGTCCACCTTCAGTCCCGCCAAGACATCCAGCTACCACGTTGCAGTACAAAACACTACCAGATGGTTCGCCGAAAGTATGTACATTTTTATTTTTGAAAAACCTATTTTCCACATTACTTTGTCCTATTGGATAAGTTTATTATACTGTTGTCTATCTATTGACATCTGAATATGTTTACTGACTAGGTATGTCAGTAGGACAGACGGATAAAAAATGATAAATAAATGACCTTAGTCGTGACAGTTATTCATTTATATAAATACCATTTTCTATGGAAATAGAAAATTATAACTGTATGTTGGATTTAAGTGCGTAACTCTTTTAAAAATGAGTAATGATGGGTCGTCGCTAGCAGTGGAATCCAGGATGCGCATATCGTCCTGTTCGGGACTTGTCAGCTGGATGTACCTGCTTCCCGGTGAGTGATGTTATTCCAGTCGAGATTCCGACTCGGGAATGATCGCTTCAAATGCCAGAGCGTTATCCACTACACCACCGAGCCACGACAGCCACTTCTTGTGCAACACGTATAGTTTCAGTACAATTGTTTTTAAAAATTGGCTATTCTATCTAGACATTCTTTAGTAAACGTGTAGTGTTTTATGGTAAATGCGAAGTGAAAACCCGTTTGTAAAGCACTGAAAAATGCTATACTTTATTGCATGCCATTCATAGATAATTAGCTTCCTTGCATCGAGGTTGGATTTAAGTCCTTCTTTCATTCGAAATAAAGTGTTAGTTGTTATCAGTATGTGTCTCTCCACCTTGTGTGGTTACTTTGGGTAATCAGAATACTTTATTTCTTTGCACTAAACCTTTGTGAGTACATTTTCAACGATATTCAATGCAAACAAGCGAAATGGCTGCCTGATACAATATTCTACTATGCTATGAAAAATGCTGAGGATTGATATGCATAATCTACGCGTACTTCACTATATTAATTGGCACTGTTTCACAAAATCAGATCAGAAGAACTGATAAAAAGTTGAGTTCAACAGTATGATCTTAGAAGTGGTAGCACCAATTAGCTGTCAGCCATTCATTATGACACGTTTATTATATAACTCTGATACTATATAACATAACAATTTGAACCAGTTACAATTCTTTCTTTCGCACTAAGCAGATGCATGAGAATCTAAATCATGTTGGTCGGGTAACGTGCTCTTGGTTAACTCGGCTGCTTTTATATCTCCGAATGAATTTACTTAAAGTAATACTCCAATAAACTGAAAATATTTGACATTATCGCTTTGGTTACAAAAATACTGTAAATACTATAAACGATTAGTCGTTATCTAACGTGCAAAATCCATCATGAGTACTCTTCAACCGAACAATCTTAACGGATTAAATTTAACTTTATTTTCATGAAACATCCTCATTCTTTCAGCTCCATATTTACTACCAAATAGTTAAAGACTGAGCATAAACTCTTTGGCAGTGTAAACAAAGATTCACCGTTGAACGATCTATCATTCATCAATTATATTATTATCATTATTTTTCCCTTGGGTTTCTAGTATAACATAAAGAGTCAGTAGCACGCCCCCATCGCGCTCTCTTCTCTGAAGTCTTTTCAACCTGGCTCCACGACTACCCACAAGCATTCATTTCTTTAGCACGTGATCTCCTTCATGTCACTCTCAGCCGGGACGCCCAACTCGTCGTTTCCCTTTTCGATTCCACTCCAGGCCCTGCACTGGCGCGTGATTTCCTCAGTCGGTCTTCTCAGTGTATGCCCAGTCAAATCCATCTCCACTTTCTTCTGCATATTTGTTGGGTGATAGGTTCATGCTTTGTTGGTTCGTCGCTATCTCGCCAGAGTTCCTTGTTGCTTATTCTTTCTGGTTATCTGGTCTTTAGTATCGAGTGAGCGTAGGTGACACCTGTGTATGTATGATGTCTGTAGTTTGTTGGAAATACTTTTCGTAACGCGCCAAGTCTCTCAACTATCACATAGAAGCGCTGACTTGATATTAGTGTTGAAAATCTGGACATTGTTCTTTATGCTGAGTGCAGTAGATCTCCACACTGGTTTCAGGTCCTGCTATCTTTCCCATCCTGGCTTTTACATTCTCATCTGTGCCGCCACTTGTAGTTGAAATGGTGCTGCCTTGCCTAGGTAGGTGAAAGAGACTACTTCCTTTAGGTTTCTCCCGTTCATGGTGATTGATGCTTGTTATTGATGCTGTTGTTGGTTGGGTATTTTCATCACCTTTGTCTTCTCTACATTCACTTGAAGTCACATCTTCGCTGTCCTGGCCTGCCTCCTCTGTCAACTTGTTGGTTTTCACCTGTAGATCTTTGAGTATATTCGACAAGACATTAGACATAAACCATTGTTGGTGAGATCCAAATCTTCTTCTCGGGTCTTTCCATCGGTGCAGCCAGCGTATGCACATCTTCTTGCTCCTCACAGTTTGTTGTATGATCCAGTGGAGTCGACCACAATCAGGAAGTTCATGGGCGATATTGGGAAGCTTTGTCTTACTCCTGTCTTCATTTCAAAAGCGTCACTGAGATTATCACTCATCAATAGCTAGTATTAACTAAAAATGACTATTCAGTAAGAGCAATCCCAGGAATTCGAACAACAATGCGTATATTAAGAAAACCAACTGACCATAAAGCGAAGAGTAATAGGTATTCGTTTCTCAAAAATCCAGATAATAAAGTTTTCTTGTACTCCTTAATTTCTAGTGATTAGTATTAAAAATCAAATAAACTTAATTTTATACACTAGATGGGAGAGAGAAGAGGGGGATACGCTGACTGGACTGCGAAAAAAACCTAGAAGATTTGGATTTCGCCAACGATGACTTGTGCTGATGTCACATAAACTTGAAGATCTACAGGCGAAAACTAACAAGTTGACAGAAGAAGCAGAGAAGACGGGACTTCAAGTGAATATAGGAAGACAGAGGTGATGAAGATACCGCACCAACAACTCCAACAACGACAACAACAACAACAACAACAAGCTCCAATGACCATGAACGGGAGAAACTTAAAGGAAGTAACCTCCTTCACCTATCTAGGAAGCACTGTTGCAACTACAGGCGGCATAGGCACAGACGAGGGTGTCAAAGCATCAGGATAGGAAACGCAGCAAGACAGGTGTTCATTAGCCTGAAACCAGTGTGCAGATCTTCTACACTGCACTCAGCATGTGGAACAAGATGCGGATTTCCAACACCAACGTCAAGTCAATGCTTCTGTATGGTTCAGAGACTTGGCGCGTTAGGAAAGGGATTTCCAATAAACTACAGACATTCATCAACAACTGCTTTCGCCGGCTCGTTACTGAAGATAAGATGGATGGCCAGAATAATAAGAATAAGCAACAAGGCGCTCTGGCAACGAACCAACGAAGCAAGAACCTATTGCTCAACAAATATGCACTGGAAGGAAGTGGAGATGGACTGGATTGGGCATTCACTGAGAAGGCCGACTGGGGACATAACACGTCAGGCCAGTCCCTTGAGTGGAATCCCCATGGGAAGCGACGAGTTGGGCGTCGGTGCCGAGGGTGACATGGAGGAGATCGTGTGAGGAGGAAATGAGAGCTTGTGGGCTGTCGTGAAGCCAGGTTCAAAAGATTGTAGAGAACAGAGTTCACTGGAGATGTGCTAGTGAAGCCCTATATTCCATTAGGAACCCAAGGGACTTATAATAATAATTATTATACACTAGATAACGTATGTTATCCAACCATAAATGCTGTTTAAATTTTGCCCATCTAGTTTGTGGTGTTTGTGTGGATGACTTAAACACACCATTATTATCTCGGAGAATAAGAATACATCTCAATAACGAATGTTAAAAATCAGACAAACTAAATCAAATAGACCTTCCTATAGATCACTTGAAACCATCGAAGCACTTTCGGAAATCTTGATTGCATTTACAAGCACCAGACACCAAAAGGGGTAAATTACAACAATAAATTTTCATAATAGTAGCTACTAAATTTACGAACTGAATTATTCAACTCATTAACAAATAGAAAAAATGAACAGTCAGTAAACATCTGATGATTCATGTTTGTTTAAAAGGTATCTTGCTGGGGAAAAGAAGAAATAAAACGCACATAATCACAACCATAAGGGCAAACAAACACATACATAGCGGATAAATAAATAAAAACTTCTTGTTTAATGGTTCCCCGTTAATTATAAAATCAATTTTCCACTAAAAAATTGATCTAATGGTGTGTGTGTGTGTCTCTCTCTCTCATTCTAATTACTGTCAATAAATAATAGCATGTCACCAGCTTTCTGAGATATCATTTCTTGAGAGAAGGGAAGAGAAAAGACAAGGGAATAAGAACTTCCTTTTATTTTTATGACTAAGCATAAATACGGGATTTGGCATTGAGCATTGAACAAAAAAGTAGATAGATACGGCTACATTTTTCCCTTCTGTAATTTGCATGCAAAGTTACCAATCCAGTTAGCACAAAAAAAACGTGCTAAATTCTAGAAGACATAATTTTATAGATAGTAATGTCACCTTAATCCATTAAATATGCTGTTTGTATTCCGGTAGTTGGTAAGTTTTATGCCCAGTAGTTTTCATTGACTAGATTAAAGTGATTCGGTTTACAGAATAAATCCACTAACAATAGAAATTGGTTGCCATTTAAAACAATTTTTCGTCTCATGGAGAAGCTAATGTTGTGAATGCACTCCTGTACATGCAAAAATTCATTAGCGCTTAGAAGTACCTTTCATTTGAGTAGTCAGTAAGATACACTGATAAGCAGTATCTAGCAGTGAAATGTAGTATACTGTTTCGCTTCGTCATCTAGATTATTTATTTTCTGTACTGTACAATTTGATTGATATGCTTTGGTCAACGTTTAGGTTGTGAAGTGATTATGATCACTTTTCAACTGCCAGCTGTATATTCATATGTTGTTGCATTATTTTGGTGTAAATCAGTACCGTCTATGAACCTGGTTTGGAAAGAAAATATTTCTTCTGAGCCTAATATGCTAACTAGTGAAATATTTTATCCACTAGGATCAATACTGATTAACTCTAAACAATACTTTACACTTTGACTATGATAAAATTTTCACAATCTCTGGATTCAAACCTTAATTTTATGTTATCCAAGGGTGTTCATACAAGGTGATATGTAGTATATCTCTTCTTGAAAAATTAAGGAGTTGCAGTTTTGAGGTTTTTTTTAACGAGTTTGTTGCTGACTACTTATTCAACAAGGCAAATAAATATGAAAAACCGCATCATTAACTTTCCTTATGCAATTGTGATCCTTTAGTTTTTCCTGTGGCTCATATAATTTCAGTTTTTATTAAATGATCTGTAAATCATATATCTTCGAACGAAAATCAAATGCTGTCACTGATAATCTGCGTCTCAACATCCTGTTACAGTTTCATGTTATGCATAGATCAGTGTTTGCTTTATTATTTTGGTTGTAGTTTGAAGCGAATAAAGCTTTTCTTATTCAAATGAAAACTTCACCCATCGGTCGCTAGTTTGAATCCGGTCGCGGTCCAGATTTTCGTCTCACCTTTAATCATCACCCAATAAAAAAACTCCTAACTTGGGTGAAAAATTACTCAGGACAGCGTTCGTGATATATGTATATAGTGATGGCTTATCTTGAATTGCTATAACTCGTCAACAGCAATGACATATCCATTACATTTCTCTTAGTATTTGTTTATTGAAATAAATGTTTTTGAAACAATTTGTTAAGAAAAGCATATAGTATCCACTCAATTTTTCCAGATACATCTACTTACCTGATATACATTAATATTTTCCTACTTGGTTGACAGTAGAATACCCCATCTTTATAAAAAGGTTTGTATCCCCTTGCGTAGTGAGTAGCTTGGTTCAAATAGATTTTATCTTTAGAGTCAGTATGGTACATGAAAAATGTCAACAATTCCTTTTCTATCTGATATATGTCTCTTATACACTACACACCAAAATATTACAATACCATCGGACTGAATGTTTAAATAAATCAAGACTTTTGAAAAATGTTCAGTTGATTAGTCTGCTGAAGCTTTAAACAGTAGCACTTCTGTTCGGTACTTACAAATACTCTTAGCTTGAGGTAAAAAGTTATATCTGTGATGTTTTCCTATTTGACTGTAAAACCTGGGCATCCTCGTAGATTATTATTCCACATTATGATAACTTAACATCCAGCACAGTAATACTGGGAAGACGAAGAGGATGGAAACAATGCTGGTTAAGATTGGAACGGTACTCATTACATATGGTACACCTTGCACTAACCCAGTCATTTGCAAATGTGCTTCGTTCCTCTTCTGTTCTTCTCTTGATTTGCTCTTGATCTACTCTTCATACATTCTTATCAGCAGCACCCACTGTAATACGCCTGCGTTATCTCTTACGCTGCTCTTGGCAGAAACCTTACCCATTGTCGGTGATTCCCTATGATTCCTTCCACCCTCTCAACATATACTACTTATATCTATTGTTATCAGCTATGCCCATTACAATATCACTTATCTTTTTTAAGTGTAGAATACTTAACAGCAGCGTGTCTTAAAGCATGAAAAGCTAGTCAGCTTGGGCAATACTTTCATGAATATTTCTTTCATTCACATCTTGATTTCTTTTTAATACAGAAAAGAATTATATCAGTATACTGTAACAAGTCGATTTAAATGACAATCATTTGAAAGAATTAAGTCATCTTGAATGTCTTATTCTTTAAATATCCGTTGATCACTACTGTCAAATAACCGGAATCCAATAGGTTTTGATTTCTAGAATTATCATAAAGTTTCATTTCCTAATTTATTCTATTGTACCAGTTAGAATAATATGGTTTACTACTCTCTGGTTTAATTCAAAATACTTTGTTTTAGCAAGCAACCTTAAGGTTCCTCATATGTACATCAACCACATAAACTATGAAACTTAAACATTAAATTTTGATTTATTCCAAAAATTAATATTTATTTTTGAACGTCTGACTTCTTATTATTTTTCTTCATCTGGTTATCTATTTGACTACACAGAAAAATTAATTTCCCTTTGTAAAGGTTACATCTAAACAACCTGAAAAGAATATTACCACTGAACAGTCAGACAACAGAAAGTTAGCCGATACTGTTGGTTCATCATCTGCACCTACTTTGTCGTCTTCATCTAAAAATACTAATTTAGTTGACACTCTGAGTATCCATGATACTATGAATCAGTTGGATAAAAATCGAATTTCATTCACTGAACCTATTCAAGATCATAAATCTGAGTCACCTAAAAGTCATTCTGGCCTACCAGAATCGAAGTTACAAGTCACTATCTCAACGAATACATCTGATGAAAATAAAACAAAGTCAGAAAAGTATCCACCTGATGGAAGATCTGTTGTTCCATGGGATTCCAATCGAGAAAATATCTCAATAATTTCTTCATCTTTATCACCTACAAAATCTTGTAGAACAGATGAAACTAAAATGACTGAAACACAACCTACAACAATAACTTCGTCTTCATCACTTCCTGATAGAAATATTATATGGGCATTTTCTCAACTACCGATTACTACCTATCCACTAGAAAATTTAAACGTTCATCAGTTTGATTCACTCAACTCTACAGTGTTAGCACAACAATCAGAGAATCCAACTGAACCTAAAGGGTCACAAGTAAATCGGAAACAAAATGCAGAAGCAACCAGACCAAATTATTTATCACAGTATATGATAGTAAAATCTACAGAAACTGGTCACCCATCATTTAAACGTCTATTATCTCCCGATGATCTGAAAAAGCAACATCTTATTCAAAAACATCACAGTTCCACAAATAAATCTGATTTAAATAATCCTCTTCTATTAGAGGATGGTAGGAAAGAAGAATTTGTTCATTTCGCTTATCCACTTAATGATTCAATGGTTTTTAGTCATCATGATAAAGAATTTGTAATCAATAGTCAATCAGATATGCATACAAATCAACCAGTTGATTTATCTTGGTTGAGAGCCCAACAAAGAGCTGAATTGATTGATGCAAGTAAGTTTTTATGAATATTCACAAAGAATTGTGGACCTTTATCCTTTAAATCTATCTGTTACTTTCTATCAATACACCGCTTTTGAGCAGCAGCAAGCTTTTGTGATTCCATGATTGAAAGAATATGAATGGAAACCTTTGCTAACAATCAAAGTTGACAGCTTAGTTTCTATCTTTCACAGCATACAGTGAGATCGCTTAAATTCTTTTGATAATAATGTGTCCTTTTAATTAGATGACGAGATGGGAAATTTTTAGCACAAAAACAGCATAAGCGTCAACTCTTAGGATAATAACAGTGACCAATGGATTTCAGCAGGCCATTGAAAACAACAGAAAGCTTACAACATACCCTTCAGTAGAATTCTGTCACAGAAAATGTAGATTACTTAGGTTTAATCTTTGTCGTCAATGTAATCTTCCTACGTCTATATTATGAAACCAAAATAAACTAGTCAGCTGTTCTTAAGCAATGCAAGCTATAAAACTTCAAAGAAGACAAGTTAAGTTTAGGAAATCTGACTAAAACTTATTAATTACTAGCCACTATCGATTGTTTAGTGACTCAAAATATCAACTCATGTCTAGCAAGCCAAAAGACATAATGCTTGACTCAAGTGTCGGTCAACTTTATATCAAATGTTAGAAAACCTTTGAGGACGATTTAGTCTTATGTTGATTTTGTTCAACCAATTTTTTAGGCCATATACGTATTACTCCTAATCATTCAATATCGGTCAAATTAAGCATTGAATACCCAAAATAGACTATTTTACCGATGTAGTTCACTTCTTGAAAGAGCTAGTGAGCAGGGTAATAGTAAGAAGGAAGAAACAACTTCTTATCACTTTTATCAAGTTTCTTGTCTCATTGATTGGTTAACAGTTTGTGCAAACTAACTAGTTTACAGATAACTAACTAACCTTAAATATCTCTTAAGTAGAACACGAAGAGACTTTATGATTCCATGTCAAGTCCTGGATGTAGACAGTGATGCAAAATCATCATCTTCAACGAGACACTTTGTAATAACTAATTGGTTTCGATTACCACCATTCTAGCGAGTACTCTTCGACGAAAGTTTTCGTCATTCTATGTCATATAGCATTCCATGTACCTATTCTATGTATTACAGTGAAAAAGCATGATATTTAGATCTCATTATTATCACTTAAAGTTGTAATAAGGGTGGAAATGTGAACCATCTATGAAAATATTAAAGTACACCTTCATGAATCAATCATTCTTAAGGTTAATATAGCATTATTTTTATTTGTTATTTTTTTAAAAAGGAGTTGAATTTTGCCTCCTTTTATCAACAAGTCACAAGTAAAGTTTCGAAAATACCGCTCTCAGCATACAAGTCAGTCATATTCACGTAAAGACTTCAAATACCTTTATATGATACATAGTGAAGGGAAAAACAAGGTTACATTATTTTCTGAAATATTCTTATAATTTAAACTAAGATCACTGGTTTAAATTATTGAACTGTTGTGCATTTTGCTAGCACCTAACTAAGTTAAATGCTTAACTAAACTCTAACAGTAACCTAAGTAACTAGACAGTCAAAACTATTGTGATACGTGAACAGTAATGTTTAAGTATTGAAATTTCAAAGAAAGTACTACAGGTTGACTTCATAATGAGAATGAAAGTTCTCAACGCCTGTTATGCTCTCTTTAAAGTTATTATTATTATTAGTCCCTTGGGTTCCTAATGGAATATAGGGCTTCACTAGCACATCTCCAGTGAACTCTGTTCTCTACAATCTTTTGAACCTGGCTTCACGACAGCCCACAAGCTCTCATTTCCTCCTCACACGATCTCCTCCATGTCACCCTCGGCACCGACGCCCAACTCGTCGCTTCCCATGGGGATTCCACTCAAGGGACTGGCCTGACGTGTTATGTCCCCAGTCGGCCTTCTCAGTGAATTCCCAATCCATCTCCACTTCCTTCCAGTGCATATTTGTTGAGCGATAGGTTCTTGCTTCGTTGGTTCGTTGCCAGAGCGCCTTGTTGCTTATTCTTATTATTCTGGCCATCCATCTTATCTTCAGTAACGAGCCGGCGAAAGCAGTTGTTGATGAATGTCTGTAGTTTATTGGAAATCCCTTTCATAACGCACCAAGTCTCTGAACCATCACATAGAAGCACTGACTAGGTGTTGAAAATCCGCATCTCGTTCCACATGCTGAGTGTGGTGTAGAAGATCTCCACACTGGTTTCAGGCTAATGAATATCTGTCTTGCAGTGTTTCCTATCCTGATGCTTTGACACCCTCGTCTGTGCCGCCTGTAATTGAAACAGTGCTTCCTAGATAGGTGAAGGAGGTTACTTCCTTTAAGTTTCTCCCGTTGATGGTGACTGGAGTTTGTTGTTGTTGTTGTTGGAGTTGTTGGTGCGGTATCTTCATCACTTCTGTCTTCCCTATATTCACTTGAAGTCCCGTCTTCCCTGCCTCTTCTGTCAACTTGTTAGTTTTCGCCTGTGGATCTTCAAGTTTATGTGACATCAGGCACAAGTCATCGTTGGCGAAATCCAGATCTTCTAGGTTTTTTTCCGCAGTCCAGCTAGCGTATCCCCCCTTCTCGCTCCCCACTGTTTGCTGCATGATCCAGTCGACCACAATCAGGAATATCATGGGTGATAGTAGGCAACCTTGTTTCACTCCCTTCACTTCAAAAGCATCACTGAGCTTCCCACTGTGAATTACTTGGCATGTGGCATCTTCATATAATTGTTGAATGAGGTGGATAAAGGTTTGCAGTATTTCGTAGTATTGAAGCAGTTTCCAAATTACTTGTCAGTCGACGCTGTCAAAGGCCTTCTCAAAGTCGATAAAGTTGAGGCAGAGGTACAGTGGACTGCCATTCTATACTCTGTCCTATGATGATGCGAAGCGTCGCAATCAGGTCCACACATGATTTGCACTTCCTGAATCCAGCCAGCCTGCCTGTTCCGGTAGCAGTTTTGAATCCAGTGCATCCTTTAGCCTCTCCAGGATGATGCGGCTTAATATTTTGCTTGCTCTGGATGGACAGGAGAGTGATTCCATGCCAGTTCTTGCAAACACTGAGGTCTCCCTTCTTCGGCAGTTTGACAAGTTAACCCTTGTTCCAATCAATGGCCAGGTACCTTCCCTTCCTTCCACATCTTCTGCAACAGTGATATGAACATGTCCACTGTTGTATCTGTGTCTGTTTTCAGTGCTTCTGGTGGGATTCCATCTGGTCCTGCTGCTTTCCCACATTTCAGTAGCTTTATTGCATTCAGGACTTCCACTTTTGTTGGAGGATTTATGTTCACTTGTAGTTCTGGGAGTCGGCTGTAGGTGGTATTTCTGGACGAAGTGCAGGTGGTGATCGATTCAAGAGCTTCTTGAAGTGGTCGGCCCATTGTTTCCTTTGTTTCTCTTCTTTCGTAATTAAATTTCCGTCATCATCTTTTATTGGTTTCGTCTGCGTTGATCTCTTCCCTCCCAGATAGTTACCTGGTTATTTGATACAATGTTAACAGGTCTCTGCCTCTCCTACCTGCAGCCTGTTCTGCTTCACTTGCCAATGTGTCATAGAAGTGTCTTTTGTCTTTCCGTGCACTCTTCTTCACTTCTTTCTCCAGTGTAGTGTTTTATACATTGTACTCAGTTTCTTTTGTCGTTGAGCATCCTTGAATTGGTTTATCTTCTGCTTCACCATCACAATCCTCCTCTCCCTACTCTATCAGCTTCCATGTATCCATCAGATCCATTCCTTATCTTCTTTCTTCCTCCTTCGTAATTCGGTTATGCAGGTTTCTTTCCAAATCTCTTTCAAAGACTTCCAGTGTTCTTCCACACAGGTTTATTCAGGGATGCTCCTCGATATCTCTTGATGGCTGCCGTGAAGATTTCCTTTGTAGTTTCATACTTCAGTTTCCCAGTGTTGTACTTGAACTGCTGTCTATCACCAGCTTCCTTGAATGCTTTCAACTTGATTTGGAAGGTTCCTTGCACCAGATTGTGAAGTGAGTGGTGTGAACCTACATCTGCTCCTCTTCTTGACCTTGTGTCAAGTAGACTGCGTCTCCATTTTCTTGAGATTGAGATAAAGTCGATCTGATTTTCAGTGTAGTGTGTCCATCTGCTGAAATCAACTTCATGTCGCTTTGTGGATATCCTTGTGCCTGAACACACTGCCTCCAATCACCAAATCGTTGAATGTACAGAATCCTGCAAACAATTCTCCATTCTCGTTCATCTCCTCACTGAGCGCTTCTCCACCCATGGTTAGTTCTCTTCCTGTGTTGTCCCCTCCCAGTTTGGCGTTCATGTCGCCCATTTGAATTTTGATATCGCCAACTGAGGTCTTGTTAAGTGTTGATTGGAGTTGTCTGTAGAATTCCTCCTTTTTCTCTTGCTCTGCATTATTTGTATGTGCGTAGCATTGTATGATTGTGACCTTCCTTCCTTTTGAGATGAACCTTGCTGTCATGATCCTGATCCTGCAGGAGGAGATTGGTTCCCACTGCATGAAGGAGGGCCTTCGATGCTGTTGGGGACATCTTGATAGCCACTCTAAAACTCAGTGTGCTCGTGTTTTCATCTGGGTGAGAATATGGGAGTAGATTATTGATTCGCCGGTTGAGAGTTCGGAGAGTCCACTCCCATTCCATCTGCTTTCGCAAATTCCTAGTACTTCAGTGTGATCCCTATTCATCTCGTTTACAATCTGGGCTTCCTTGCTGGGTTCAAACATGGTGCGGACATTCCATGTCCCCACGTTTACTTTCGCTTTCATCTAGGGAGAGAAGACACATCGGCCAATTGGCTTCCTGAAGGCTTTCACCAACTGGCGTCATTTCGCCTCTCCGATTCCAGCGAGGAATAATTTTGTTTTTATTTTTCACATATCGTTTGTGCTTTGAAGTTTGTTTAGCGGTTAGATTTGTTTTACGGGGTAGGGTTGCTAGCCCTATGCCTGACCTTCCCTGTATACCCAGGCTTAGGACCGGCTAGTAACTAGTGGACTAGTTAACCAGCCGACCTCTTTAAAGTTACTGGTGATTAAGTCCTCGTACAATGAGCCAAAGGAATGCACACTTGTATTTATACTACCCGATTTCAGCACTTTAAAAAGGAAAGTTTAGAATAATCTAACAACTTGATACAGTTGTAAGTATTGTAACATTTCAAAGCTTAGGTTTTGTGCAATGTTTAATGGATAGAGATTAGTAAATAAACAGAAAGCTAAACTATATTTGAGAGTTGAACAAACTCATGCTTAAAACTTTTGGTTTGAAAGTTGTACAAAGCAAATAAACATTGTATACTGATATAGGGTATTCGGTGATGCACTCTTGTGAACGCTGGAAATAAAAAGTTTGAAATTCTTGTCATGATGGCCTCTGGATTCTTCTGAAACAGAAGGACTGGTATAACAACTGAGCTTATTCTATCCACAATACTGGCCTTTATCCAAAAGTAGCCTTTGTGTTTGTAGAGTATTCAAGACGGTCATTATTAGTCAATTACATGTATGTTTATGTGATTTCCTGTGAAAATCTAAGTGCATCCGAACACAGTGTTCTGAAGGATCTAGGTAGTAATTAGTGAGCATCTGTGCAAACACATACTAGTAACTCAAGATAGAAAATCCTAAATTTATAGTTTCTGTGTCTAGTGATCAAACTATTCAACTATTCAGACTGAAGATGAAGTATAACCATTCGTCGATAATCATATACCACAGGTTGAATAAAAGAGGACAAAAACCAAACAATAGTGCACGACTTAGAATTCTACTGGCTTGATTTCTTTTTTGATAAAATATAATTACTCTTCATCCATTTTTAAATGTTCAGACGTTCCTTTTAATGAAGAGATTCGTAACAGTTATATCATCATAAGTTATTCAGTAGATGTAGAATTGAGCTGGTTCGTGATTGAAATGTTATTTAAGTTCAGAAGTATGTATGCATTGAATCAAATGTGAAAATAATCAACTTCGATACTTTGATTTCTAGTTAATCTCAGTCCTATACCAATTTATCATTGGTGGTTAAATTTTTTTGAACTTGGTAACCGTCTCAAATAAACATTACTAGATAACTCAGATTCTTTGCTTCAAGATCTTTACAATTGGGACACAACTTTAAAGTTTAATTTATGGATCCTGTCATCGATAAAAATCAGATAAGTAACTGTGGAGAAAATAGATAACTACGTTTTCCTTGTTTGGTGCTACTTGGAAATCGGAGCTTTCTAAAGTGGCCCCAAACACGACATCATTAAAATGCTGATATGAATTTAAGTTATCTGTATTCTGCATATTCAAAAGATTCATGACATTTCTTGACAACACTATTTGCAGTGTTATATACAAATATTAACCATGCCAGAATCACAGACCGTGGCTTTTTATCAAAACTTCAGTAATCTTCCAAAGTCTGATAGATACTTGATGGTAACAGTAAGAGAATCTCAATATTAATACTTAGTCATCCTAAGGTGTAAAATATCTACCGATAAGTTCTACTAGAAAACTCTTTTCTAAAAAACACGAAAACTGATGTTGAGCAGTAGCGAAGTCCCTGTTGCCTACTAAACACCTCTGGAGCAATTTTTGATTCTCAGTGATTCTTCAAGTATTCTAATTTTATGATAAAACTTTCGTCAGGTTAATGGGTATAATATAGAACTTTACATCCTTCAAAATAATTACTTTGTTTTAATCTTATGCCTAATATTACGTTAAAGGTTTCATGAATCAACGTTATGTGGCTTCCTGTAAACTTTTTGATTTCTATGTATTTAGGTAAATCACGAAATGTAGTTCATCGTTCCTGTCGTGACTTTTCTCAACATCAATTCAGTGCAGAACCGGTATTTGTAAATATGAGGCCAGACTTTATGCACGTATCCCCATCACTAACACACAAAGAACATACACAACATGTAACCACCTCTAAGCACTCACCTACTACTAATAGCCATAAAAATAGTTACATTTTAATGACACAATCAAGTTTACCAGCTGGATTCCCCGAACAACAATCGGATTTTTACATACACTATAAGCATAAATCAGACAACCTGGTTCATACGAACTCCAAGTTCCTCACAAGTGATTCTACTCAACAACAAAATTATCGTCAAAGGAATCATTCATATAACCCTAACAACTCTTGTACGACAGAATCACTTGCACCTAGTTACAACAGTAGTATGACGCAGTCTGTATTCTTCCCGTTAGATTCAGGATGGGGTCCACCAGCGACTAAACAGAGTGAGTCAACCAGTGGAAAACACAAAAAACACCGTTCCAATGTAATTCGTTCACATAGTCAACGTAATCCAGATTCTTATTTCGGTGTAGAGTGTAATCACTTCAGCCTATCTTCAGAACAATCAAGATATGCTATACCTCCAAAATATTATTACAATCGAAGTTCCAGTCAAACTGTACCAGTTAATCCGGGTGGTAATTCTGTTTGGCCACAGGTTATGGTTCAGTGGCGTGAACGACGACCTAATGGGGCTGCCAGTTCAGAGAACTTTTCAGATATGTTTGATGCTCAAAACATCAAAGGATACAGTGGAAATATTCACATTCCAGCTGATTGTAATAGACGTCAAAAATCAGAAGATTTGCAACGTCATCATTATAGTACAACAGCGATATCTGAACAACTTGAAAATCAACTGTAAGATATTTTTTTATCTTTGTCCGTTTCATGAAAGGTTTTTAAAGCAATTGGTTTTGAACCCAGGGTTCTCAAGGTTTGGGATTAATTACCGTATCTGAAGAGTAGTTTGCAAAAGATCTCAACGTTGGCGTACTCAACGTTTTACTTTTAGCATTAAGAAGTAAAATAGTAAGGGATGTATACGGTTAAAAATACCTCGTCTTTTCATCACTGAAACCAATTAACAACTGAATATTATAGTTTGAAGTTCTAAAATGTTTCACATATGAAATTAAGAAAGTAGGACTTTGCATACAAGTGAATTAGTTCATCTTCCAATCGGCAGGCATGTTTCTCTTTTTCCGAATCTTCTGCAGTAGTGATGTGAGAATGTCCGGTGTTGTCTCTGCGTCTGCTTTCAGTACTTCTAGTGGAATTCCATGCGGTCCTGCTGCTTTCCCGGATTTCAGCAACCTTATGGCATTCAGGACTTCGGCTTTTGTCGGAGGGCTCGTGTTCACTGGTAGTTCTGTGGCTGGACTGCTGGTGGTATTTCTGGACGAGTTGCAGGTGGTGGTGGTCGACCCAAGAGTTTTTTTAAGTGGCCAGCCCATCGTTTCCTTTGTTTCTTCTCTTTGGTAACTAGCTTTCCTTCACTATCTTTGATTGGTTTCGTCTGCGGTGATCTCTTCCTTGTGAGATAATAACCTGGCTTTTTGATATAACGTTGTCAGATCTTTCCTACCTGCAGCCTGTTCTGCTCACTTGCAAATGTGTCGTAGAAGTGTCTTTTGTCTTTCCATGCATTCGTCTCCAATCCTTTGTCCAGTGTTTTTATACGTTGTACATGGTTCCTCTTTTCATTGCTAATCACCTGCCTGCGTTGGTTCATCTTCTGCTTTATCATCTTCCTTTCCTTCCTCTATCAGCTTCCATGTATCCTTCGAGATCCATTCCTCGTCTCGTTTCTTCTTCCATCCTAACACGGTTATGCAGCTTCCCTTCCACCTTGCTTTCAAAGAGTTCCAGTCTTCTTCCACACAGCTTTCCTCGTGGATGTTGTCTAATGTCTCCCATTTTTTCCTGATAACTGACTGACGTGAAGATGTCCTTTGTAGTTTTGTCCTTCAGTTTCTGGGTGTTAAACCTGAACTGTGGCCATTCACCAACTACTTTGAAGGCTTTCAACTTGATTTTGAGAGTAGGTTCCTTGCAGTAGATAGTGGTCTGAACCACTTACATCTGCTCCCCTTCGTGACCTGATCTTGTGTCCAGTAGGCTGACTGCGTCTCCATCTCCACTTTATTCACATTGAGATGAAGTCGATCTGATTTTTAGTGTAGTGTGTCCTGGTGTCTGGTGAAATTCATGTCGCTCACCCTGTGAATATCCTTGTGTTTGTACACACTGCCTGCCTCCAACCACCAAATCGTTGAATGTGCAGAAGTCTGCAAACAGTTCTCCATTCTCATTCATTCCACTGAGTGCTTCTCTACCCATGATGGATGAGTTCTCTTCCTGTGTTGTCCGCTCCCTGTTTGACATTCATTTCACCCCAGCCATTGGAATTTAGATGTCGCCAACTGTAGTGGGGTCTTGTCCAGTACTGATTGCAGTTGTCTGTTTGTTGTCCTGGTGACAATATCGGAGTAAATTATTGACTCTCCAGTTGACAGTTTGTAGAGTCAACTTCCATTCCATCTTCTTTCGCAGATTCCTAGCAATCCAGTGTCAAACCCTCTCATCTCTTTTGCAGTCTAGGCAACCTTGCCAGCTAGTTTCAAACACTGTTTGGACATTCCATATCCCCATGTTTACTTTTGCTTTCATCGAGAGAAGAGGAAACACATCGGGCAATCGGCTTTCCAAAGTCTTTCACGAACTGGCGTCATTTCGTCTCCCCGATTCCAGCAAAGAATAAGCTTAATTTTATGTTGTATATTTTGTTTGTGCTTTGAAGTTTTTTTAGCGGTTGGGTTGGTTTCCTGGGACAGGGTTGCTAGTCCTACACCCAACCTTCCCTCTTTATGCGGTCTTAAAACCGTCTAGTGACTAGTGAACTAGTTAACCAGGCGAGGTTGTTCAGTTCTAAGAGTTTATCAGATTTGTAGTATGACATCCAGTCTAAGAGATGTGCTAACGCTGTACAATGCACTCACTGTTCCCTCAGTAAACCAGCTTTGTTTTTTAAGCATAAGATATCCCTGCTGAATTGGACCGGTGCATTATATAGGTCTATTTGTATTATCATAATTCCAACTTTTTTAGGTTAACTATTTACCAATTGCTTATGTACATACTTGTCGATAATTCTTACGTATTACTTACTAACAGCATTTTTAAGGAGACCATTTACTTTTTGATCATAATTGGAGGGGAAACAAAGTCATTTTATCCTGACTAAGTGTTTTAAGTGTTTTCGTTGTATTTATAAGAAACGGTAAGCGTTCAGTATGAATGAAATAACTTCATTAGTATACCATTCAAATTCATGTAGAATCTATGCATATTATTGCTGGTATACTGAACGACTGTGTTTGATAATTTACATGGATATTATTGAAATGTCTTTTGGTAAAATTGTTTTATATACTGAAAAATAATGTTGGAAAGCAGTGTCATAGCTTCGAAGTATTTTGAGTGCCATTCTGACTACTTATAAGTAGTATAAACCGCATCACTTAATTACTCTGACAAGCTTACCAGGTGATTGTTCCTATCGTCCCTGAGACGAAATGAATCAATCGCTGAGGTCTCTTGGTGACATGGCGCAGATATATTCACTCCTTGCCATCCTCTAAAGCTTGAATACTTGCAATAACTATAGTCTTCAGATTGTTTATTCTATCACACACACAATGTTGTTTACTTTCATATCATTTTATCTATCCACCTTCTACTATGAAGTGTGGCAACTTGAACCAATGCACTTGCGCCTGAGGTTCTACGCTGATTTTTTCTATCTCTCTGCAACTTTACTAGTACGTTCTTGCTCAGTCATTATAGAATTTTTCTCTTTCTGATCAGGTGGTTTCATCATGATTTGCCTCGAGCACATGCTGAGAAGTTACTGAAAACAACTCCGACAGGTAGCTTTCTTGTGCGGAGGAGTGAAACCAGCAAAACGGAGCTATCACTATCAATAAAGTAAGTGATAAGCAGCTTGTTTTCTTGATTTCAGATTTCTGAAAAAGTTAAAAAAGATTTAAGCAACCATTTTTTTTAATGCTGTTACTAGTATTATCCTGTCGTAGACTGGACCGAATTGACTAGTCTTTATTAGCATTCGCGCTCCTGAGCTGATGCATCAGTGTTACCTGTGTTTGAGTTTTACAATAATGGTAGGTAGTGGCTACCAGTGCAATCCATGACAAGCGACCCGTCCTGTTTGCTTTTCGTTAGCTGGATGTACTCGCCTCCTTGTAAGTTATATCGTTTCCACTAAGACTCGAACTCGAGACCAAACGCTTCAAATGCAAGGGCGTTAACCACTAAGTCACCATAGCCACTTTTCGTGCGATGGGTTTAGTTTTTATGTTGTTACTTCTGCTATCCATCATTAGTAGAAAACTGAAACATTGGCAATATCATGGCATCCGCACTCTATAAATATCATTGTAAGCAAGCTACTTTCAACCTCTTGAACGCAAATACAGTAGTTGGCAGCTTCTCCACTATAACTAACTCATGATACTGAGTGAAATATTTTAAGTGTTACTCTTGAGTATATTTTTTAATCCTCAATCTCATTGACACCACAAGCTAGAATACGGAATGAATATATAGCTTCTGACGGCAATAATTATTTTTGTTTCTGAGGTTTTGATTAACAAATTTCAAGCTTTTAACAACAGTAGAGAGTAAATATTCAAAGAAAAGTAGTTCATTTAAGCTACATCTTCTCCTTTATACCTCAGTGATGCAATTTACATTCCACCAAGATTAAGTGCTATTATTATGCTTCGGAAACTACTATGTGATATGGCCTCCAACGATGCACGGTTAACGAGCATCAGCCACCAGCCTCCAACAAATTCCTAATTGATTTCCGACCCGACTAATTAATGGAAAAGACACAATGGACGTGTAGAACGTGTATTGGGGTTGAAAAACCGAAGACCAAAAACAAACGCAAATACAGCTGTTTAAATTAGAATAGTTCTATTGATTGTCTGATCCACCATCTCTCTGTCTAATTATAGAAGTGATAACATACAGTACATTTTGATTGGTCTCTCTTCAGACCATTCATTTCTCTTTATCTCTAAATCAGATATACATTCATTTTCTGTAAGTAAACATGCTGTTGATTTTGATTTATACAAGGCACTTCGCACGAAAATATGCTTATTGTTTCCGATGCTTAATTAACAGTTCTTCTTATCTGTGAGTTAGTCTCTATAGAGACACAGGAAATGTTTGACCATAATATACTAGGTCTGATCCGATTAAAACGAAGTGGATTGTACTAAATAACTGTCAAAAAAGTGAGTTTATCAAAGAAAAACATAAATTTACAATTTTTGTAGATAGAACTTAAAATATATTGATCTTAATGACTAGAAAACGAATCCAGGATGGACGTTTCGCACCATTGCAGACTCGTCAGCCGGGTGTACCGCACTCCAGTGAGTGATGCTGTTCCCATTAAGGCTCAAACCCGGTAACCTTTGCTTCAGTCCTGGAGTGTTACCCACTAAGCCACTGGGGAAAGATAGCCACTTCCTGTGCGACAAGTATTAGCTGTTGCCATGATACTTGTGATATCCCGCTGCTACACAGAAGTGAATTGCTCGACCTCTTTTAGTAGATGAGCTTTTACGTGAGTGCCTCGTTACTGCCGGGCATTCATGATGTTATACTGACCTTAGTGACTAGCTGAGGAACCCAGGAGGTGCGTTCCGTCCCCCTCAGGACTCGTCAGCTGGACGTACCTGCAGCAGTTACTTGATGGATAACGTCTTGACTTTTGAAGCATAAGGTTCTGGGTTCTAGCCTCAGTGGGAACAGTATTACTCACTAAGGTGCAGGTACATCCAACTGACAAGTTTCGAATGGAACCGAACGCATATCCTGGATTCCTCCACTAGTCACCAAGATCAATATAACATCATGAATATTCGGCGGCATCGAGGCATCCATGTAGGAGCCCATCTGCAAACAGAGGTCGGGGCAATTCAAGTTTGTATTGCAACAGGAAATTACAAGTATCATTACGAGAACTTAAAATTTTTCATCTCAGTTGTGAATCTAGTTCCCCGATTGTATTTTAGCTTGTTAATAGAGAACACAATGAATGAATTCCTTGTTAACAACTAGAAAAGCTACCGGATTTCAGTTTAAGTGTATTTTCTTAACAAATTAATTTTTCATGCTCACAAATGATTTTTAATTGTTCACCATTGTGTAACCAAATTTTCTTCAATAATTTCCTTCCATAGACGAGAAAATGATGTCTTACATATGAAAATATCTCAAGATCCTGAAACTAAAGCTTATGTTCTAGGTGAATATAGTCAGCCATATCCAAGTATTTCGGCTATGATATATCGTTATTCACGAACCTTACTACCAGTACGTGGTACAACCCCGGTGTTGCTACGCTTCCCAGTTAGTCGTGTTGCATTTTCACACTAAATAATTCATGATACATTTCTATGACACATACATTCGCATTATTTAATTACTTATTGTATTTGTTCATAATTTATTTTCAAAAGGAATTATTTTAATTGTTGTAAGCATTCTAGTCTTATCAATATAACTTGAAATTTTTTTTTCTCTTGATTTCATTACTTTACTGTCTTTAACAAATTCCACTGTTTTATTTGTTTTGTTGAATTTCATCTTTTGATACTTATTCAACAATATGACACATCTTTTTAGTTATTTCTTTAATTAATCATTTTACAAATGAATCTCTCTTATTTGCAAGGTATGCATACATCAAGATTAATCATCTAATTATTTCCATCTAAATCAGTGAACTTACTTATCAACAATAACTTGACTAGCATTTAATGTATATTCATTAGCCTATTTATAACAATTATAAATGCTTACACAAACACAATCTCTGAAAGAAACTCATCTTCCTGATCATTTCTGCTGTTTTCAGTTGTATTGTCTTTTCAATAACAGATTTGATTGATATTTTTTTCCTTTCTTGTCAGAAATATAATCAAATATGTATTGTTTATTTTAGTTATCATTACAGTTCTATGATTGCTATTGTACATCTTGTGTTTTATTCCGACTATATTAAAGATTATCCAAAGTTTTTTCATCTGTGCATAAATAATGACACATATAAGCATAAATCACTGCTTAGGAAATTATGTATATGAAGAATACCGCATTATTGCTTCATTTTAAACTTGGAAAGTTGATCGATCAAATCAAACCAAAAGTCTGCAAAACAACTAGGTGTTTTTATTTTTCTTAGTTGACTATGGATTTTAAAGTAAATATGCCAAAAAATAAGGTTTATTTCAACTTGCGTTTATCTGTTTCATTCTCTTTCAACTTGATAAAAAGTATTGAGCTATCGAAATGGTCATGATCATTACTATTACTTTTATTATTACTATTATAATTCATCCTTTCTATCACATTATAATTGCTAAGTATCATTATGGTGATTATAATTATTACTTCTTTTATGTAATTGTGTAAAACTTAATTTTGTTGGGAAGAGGGTGTTGTTATCCAGTGTTCTGGAAACTATCTTACTGCTTTCGTATACAAAATCTGGATGTCCAATATAAGTTTCACTCCCAAACTTATTCACTTATTTTTCAATAGAGTCAGTTATCAGTGATAAAGGATCCTAACTTGTGAGGAAATTAAATATCATTTTTCACGCAGATATTTCATCAATAGTTGCCTCTAAAATGGTGCATGTGTGTATCAACACATTTATTTGCTCTTTAACTGTTTAGCTCCTGAAAGTTAAAAAGCAAGCATCTTTAAACCGAATTCAAAACCAACACCTAGTTAAGAAAATAGTCTCAGTATTAATTTTCAGCGGTATTCACATGAAACATTATAGGTTCAATACTAAGCACCCGTATTTGCCATAAGGCAGATGCTGTTTATCTCTAGTCACTATGCACCGAATCCACCTACGCTTGAAGTGTGTTATTTAGATGTAACAGAAAAGATCTACGGTTCAGCAAGGTAATTTAGGTGGTTTTGGCCTTCTGAAATAGATGTTTTATGCATGAAGTGTTCACTGACTACCTAGACAATATCATCAGGAGAAACTTGAAAACAAGTCTTTCAAGAATGTCAAAATTACTATAACTTTTCTTCTTATAGATAAATGTCCTCCTAGAATGAAAAGTATCCAAGAAACAGCCACGAACTGTGTTTTTAAATGCCACCTTCAACTTCCTGCTTGACTACTAGAAATACTATTATCGCATAATCTAGTCACCTAGACATGTCATGCAACAACTGTTTAAAAGTGCATTTCTCAGAAATAAATGGAAACTCTGTTATAACTCCCAGTTTTCTGCTGTTGATTAGACCGAATTAATCGCTACTATTCGCATATCAGCTCCTGTGTGAGTATCTTGATAATGCCAATTATTTAAGTTTAAAACTAATGACAGATAGTAGTTAGCAATGAAATCTAGGATGCTTGTTTCGTCTTATCTGGGACTCGTCAGCTGGATGTACCTCCCTCCCAGTAAGTGATGCTAGCAGCAGGAAAGTGTGTGCATTTCAGAAGAGGAAAAACTGTTAATTCTAGGTCAGCTTAACAACAATTCTTAATTCTCTAAAAAATACTGTGTAAACTTAAACAGATTAAGAGATGCACCCAAGGCAGAATAAAGTAATTTATTTCAATGATTTTCTTCAACTGCTTACAATCTATAACGTATGATACACTTAGTTCCATTGGTTTCACAACTATTTATCGATTGAGAAAGAAGGAGATTCGGATGTGGGACTTTTACAACTAGTGAACGTGAATAACTCAAAGGTTCACTCTTTATAAAATGATTGATGAATATCCTACAAAAAACAATACCAGTTGAGAAGAGGAAAAATACCATGAAGTTCTATAAGTAAGAAAACCTAGCACCATGAAAAGCCAACAGACTTTCATTACTTTGACGAGTAAGATACATGGTCTTTGAAATGAATAAAGACATTACATAAAAATAATGAAACGCAGAATTACAAGAACGTGTGATAAGAATTGTCAAAATATTGGTTATTAAAGCAAAACAAGATTGACAAATGTATATTTTGAACACAGATATTATGTTTAAAATCCTTTATTAAAACAATCTTGGAGAAAAACAAACAACTGAAATCCATTTTACAGTTTATTACTTTACCTAAACAGCTTTTATTTATCGACAATTAGTTCAATAGCAAGGGTTTACCTTGCTCAAAATTGATGAACCTCGAATTCTCAAATCCTTTAGGTGAATCTAAGTGTAAACATCATGAAACCTTCCCTCAACACATTCTCCCAAGAGTGTAGTCTCAGTACAGAATTAAAAAGCATTTGATAAATGGGGCATCTCATGATGCCCATATTGTTCTTAGTTCAATTTATTACTCACAATGATGTTAAGAGGTACTCAATTGCACTCAAACGTCATCAGCGAATAAAACTATTCCACAGTGTGATATATATATATATATATATATATATATATATATATATATCATTAAAGAACTATAAGTGAATCAAATCTAAAGTACGTCCTAGCTTTAAATTTTTAACCGATAATTTCTTCCTCAGGCTCTATCGTCATATATCCATGTTGTACAGCCTGAGGAAGAAGATACAGAAAAGAATACTCTTTGTTCATCAAACTCCCTTTGGAATTATGACGGTAATATAATATTATGTGCTACTGCCTTTTCAAGCAAAGTTTACAGCTTAACGTTTTCAATAAATTTAGCATGAATAAGCGGTAAAAATAATATTGAACGGAGGAATATCCTGGGCTTACGTGTAGGCATGCACATATATACTATAGCAAGTGTTTCCAACTACACTCAAAAATGAATCCTTACTGATAGTGAATGCAAAATCAGTTGCGCGATTCCAAATTAGCAACTACCGGAAACTCACACTCATTAAAACGATATGATTGGATCAGAATTAATTTTACTGGCACATACTTCGAAAACCAAGACAAAATGTGAATCAGTGAGAATTCGATAAAATTTCTTCAAGGAAACAAATTGATTAGAGGGCCCCTGAAAAAAGAAAATGTATGGTATAATTATTTCATTTTAAAAAACAGAACTGACTTCAGTGGTCAGTATCCATATTTTAGGCAACTATGTCTTACACAAAATAATTCAGAAACTTCTATGAGTTTGAAAACTCAGTTTTAGTTAGTAATCTAGACATATCATTAACCATCAGAAGTGCTGACTACTTAGTTGTTGATCTCAAGAAGTCGATCTGTCTTCAGACAATAATCTTTCCAAACTGATACTGTTTCTTTTTCCGCTGCACTACATACAACCCCAACTTTTGATTAGCAAATATTGTGTCCAATTTTACTAGGTTTTTTCTTGCTGCACCAGTAAAACAAAACATTAACTGGTAAAAATATGAATACTTTCGATTAACAAAAAATGTCTCTTACAAAGTGTTATCAGCTTTAAGTATGCTAGTAAACTTAGTTAAATGCCTAAATGATAGGACGAAAAAGCTTACTAGTAGACCAGAAAATCGATAACAAGAAGTTAGGCACATCAAGAATACCTTGCGTCTCAATAATTACTCACGAAAATTTATAAACGAATTCATAAGAAATAATAAAATAATAATAGTAGTAGTAATATAGCTGTTATTAGTAATAATTCGAATACTAATGGTAATAATGATGACAGGGTTGAGAGAGAATCCAAAGTCTCTGCTGTGTTACCATACAAGGAAAGTACCTCGGAAACACTACGAAGAATTCTCAATAAGACTGACTAGGATTAAAGTGGTATTTAAACCAACAAACTCGCATAGAATCAAGCTTTTTAAGTTAAAAGATCCTATTGATGATTATGTGTGGATTGAAAACTGAAAATGTATAGTTCAATTATTTCATTTTAAAAAACAGAACTGACTTCAGTGGTCAGTATCCTTATTTTAGGCAACTATGTCTTACACAAAATAATTCAGTAACTTTTATGACTTTAAATATTCAGAAATGTTGTATTAACTCCCTTGGATTTTTTAAATCTCTCAGAGAATATAACTGCTAACATTACCGATACAAAACTGTCGTAAATCACAGTGGTAATAATTTCAATGTGTCTTAATTATAGAAGAGAGGATCGGTATTATTCAAGGTGTGAAAAAAGGACACTTTAATATTGAAAAAATAATAATAAGATATATGCTAGTAAAACTATTTGTTATAAACATGTTGCAGTGAAAGTAATTGAAAGAAAAAATGTTGCAGAATAGTGATTTATGTTAAACATTCAATGTAAAATAAATACTTGACTTTTAAAAGTGTTTAAAGGATAAATTTTAGTGAAATAAAGTTGGTTTCACCCTAATGATTTCAGAAAATAAATAACACCAATAATTACTTCAAAAAAAAGTTAATTAATCTTAAAAAGAAACAGATGTGTTCCCGTTGTGAATATAAAATATTTTACAATAGATTGTTTAATATATAGTCAATTCTTAAAAATGAGAAGAAACAAAACCTTTACAAATATTATAAAAACTTTATTTTCTTATTTTACGAATAAAACTTTTTTTAAAAACTTTCTATTCGATATATATAAGCAAAATATCAGAAAAAAATTCAGTATCTCTTACATTTCAGAGAGTTTATCTCATTTCTGAATGATACATACAGAAAAACAATAGTTCGCAATTCTTTAATATAAAAATATATTCATTAGACATTTTTTCTAGTTGAATTATTCACATTATTGCATATAGAGTGATTAAATTTTTACACAATACTAATCTTCATGCCTTCATCATTTGAATGACTTAACCCTAACTTATATAGGCATTGGTAAAACTTTAAGCAAAATAAAACATAAACGAATAACCTTTGTGAACAGTTTAATGCAATCAAGCAGAAAATATAATTATACTTAAGTTGACTGGTACAGTTGATGAGGTAATAATCAAAATAGAAACCTAACTAATCTCAAAATACATTACTCTATAGTGCTCATTAGTGACTTGCTTCCAGATGGATGCCAGGAAGTTCTAATGAGAAGCCGTGACCTATGGGGTCAACCAGTCGGAAGTGAAGTGGATGCTAACTGAAGACCGTGGGTGACAGTCGCACTATGTCGTCAATTGACAAAAGTTGGAAATTATGAACCACCGGAAACCGACCCAGTGGCTGAATGGTTAGAGCATTCGCCGTGGAACCTGAAGATCCTGAGTTCGACCCCTAGCCGGGTCGTGGGTGCGTACTGCTGAGGAGTCCCATACTAGGACGAAACAGCTGTCCAGTGCTCCCAGATTTCCAATGGTTCCCCAACTGATGTCAGTCCATGATAAATACTACTTCTAAATTAAAAATCCCCATTCATCTCAAAAATACATAAACGAATAATCTTTGTGAACAGTTTAATGCACTCAAGCAGAAAATATAATTATACTTAAGTTAACTTGTACAGTTGATGAGGTAATAATCAAAATAGAAAACTAACAGAATAAGCATCATTCTGCTGTAAGTTACAGTTATTTGATACTAAAAGAGCCAAAATACTACAACAAACAATTACACAACCATAGTAGAGAAAATACAAAAGATTGAGATAAAAATCTATGGTTAAAAGATTTTTTCATGAACCTCAAGATTATCCGATCTATGTAATATGTTCAAATGCTTTACTTGAATCTTTCATTATTTAAACCACCATTTGAACCTTAGTTTTTGTTAAGCATGAGTTGCTGGAATAACCACATTAAACCATCATTCAATCCATCACCGTTAATTGCATTTGAAGAGAAAATCCTCCAAGATTTATTTCTTACATTTTCAAGACCAAGAATCTTGATGATTTCTTCACAGGTTAAAGAGTTAGCTAAGTCCATTTTGTTGGCAAACAGAAGGATTGGAATTTTCTTGTTGCATATGTCTGGATGTTTTAGAAGTTGCTGAAACTCATCCTCCACAATTATAAGTCTCAATTCATCTGAACTGTCAACTACATAGATGATTGCCTGACATTCCTTATAAAACTTCTCCCATAAACTTCTGTAAGTGCCACTACCTGACATATCAAAACAAACAAACATCACTTCATTAAATTTAAGCTTTTCAACATTATATCCAATAGTAGGAACTACTATAGACTTCTGTGCATCCTTCGATTGTAATTTATTTAGAATAGTCGACTTCCCACTGTTATCCAATCCAATTACCAGGACTTTAACTTCTTTCCTGGGGAAACCGAAAATTTTCCAAATCAACTCAAGAAAACCCATATCTTGAAAACATTCCTTTCGAAATCTTCAAAACAGACTACGTCTCAACTTTTCAAGGTCAGATTTTGCAGAAAAACGAACATATTACCTGTAACCTTCTGCGTGAATTACTGATGAAAATAGCTTCTGTCACTATATAAAAGTGCAGTGGGTTCTGTAAAAAAAAAAAAAGAATAACGTTATCTAAGATTAACAGAATGTTGATACTAATTTTCTATTCAAAAAAGCAAAATTCAAGCTAGAAAAAGGTTCGAACTTGATATTTTGCCAGAAGTTTAAGCACCAGTTGTAATTGCTTTAGTAGCAACTTCTCTGACTCATTAGTGTACTCTTAGCGTAGTCTTGTCTTTACACTTGGTAGACAGAACTGCAAAAGATACAAGTTTTACTACGTTTTGTGAATAACACTTTCGGTATTTTCACTCTGCATACAAGAGACGGAACAAGTGACTCAATGCTAAATAAATCAAGAGGGATAAAAGCTCTATGCTGTCACGGTTCATAGCACTCTTTGTATTAATGCGAATGACAGACTAGATTAGACATAAAATTAACTTTCTAATTCTCAATGTTATGTTGCATCTTATTTTAATGTATTCAAACAAAATTGCAAAACCTGATTTTGGAATATTGACATGAAGATTCTTACCTAAAGAAGATAAGCATAATTAGTGAAACCCACACTATGTCTCACTTTATGGGCTTTGCACAGTAACTTCAATAATTGTTGGATACTCTGAAAGCAATAAGACATTCATAGGTTCCAGTAAACCTAGTTTTCTACTGAACATTCAAGGTAAACAGTTGATATCATGATTGCCTTTATCCCTTTAGGACATGTGTGAAAAATAAATAGTTCGGAATTGGTGATATCTTAAGTTTACTACTCAAAGAAAAACCTTATGTAATATCAATTTAGGTTCAAAGACAATGGTGAAGTTAACTCTAAGTACTGCAGACTCAAAAATTGTTGTATCTCACTGTCTCAAGTTTTATACAGCATAAATTATTCAACTTGTATGTGACTGTACAATGTTAACCTCCTTTGTTCATTCTCGCAAACCAGAAAATGAAGAAGCGTACTGGTTTACCTATAAACTTTGAAGTTTTCTAATGACCATTAGTAACAAATAACTTGGATATCACTGAATATATGACAGATAGTCCAGCATGATACATTATACCACATAATTCACGCAAATGAATCCTTTCCTCGAATGAGTAAGTAGAAATGCTTTAGCTTCGACTAATTCATCTGAACTTCGCATGATCCAATACATCACCAACTGACTTATTTTTTTTAGCTGAAAACCTGTTAGATACTTGGCCAATCCTGGAAAAAATCTACCTTTCTAAAGCTACAAAGGTGATTTCACTCACTAGGGGACAAGAAATACTAGATTAGCGGTATACTGTCGCAGGGCGAGGTACTGAAAAATGTTTATTCTTTGCGGGAAACAAAGCGATATTAAATCTTTGCTATCAATTCAGATTTACTAGCAACTAGTATGATCAAGGTTTAAAAGAAACAGCTTGAAATATTCATAATCTCTGCAAATAATGAAGTGTGTTATTAAGCCTTAAGTCAAAACTTTCACCCCATTCTTACGACAGTAGAAAGTAGGATGTTCTTAAAAGGTGTAACCCTAACTCATTTTCATAAAAATCTTTTTCACTTAGTAAGCCATTATCTTTAGGGTTTAACTGGTGTGGTGGTTGAAATTTGAAGGTAATTTCCATGTGCTTATTCAAGAATCTGGTAGTAGGAAAATGGATTCAGATATGTAGTTTGATCTACCTGATCCTATGAGATACAACAAAGTTAGTTTCGATGCTTTATACGCTGCTATGGAATTAATATCGGAGGTTTATGTTGCCATTATAACCAAGGAAATATACAACTGTATGACTAGATATAATACTGCCTAAACATGTTAGACTAACACAAAATTACCCAATAACTATAGTCCAATCCAAGCATCATATGGATATTTTAAAGGGCAACAGGAAAATTTTCGGGAAAGACAGCAGAAAATCTTTGGGAAAAGTACAATGCTTAGACATCATTTTCTCCAGCGTTCTTAAAGTTCTCCCTTCTTCGTAAAATCCCATATGCCAATCAATCATCGGCGAAGTTCTGGGTGCTTCCTCAAAATCCTCTCCAACGTACATAATATTATGTATATTCCGCAGAATTTCTCCATTCCCCAAAACATTGCCCTTAAATGTTTAGCTGGGAATGATATGACTGCCGTAACATGTCTATAGAGCAAACAAGTGTGAGAGAGGATAAATTTTGAAACAAGGGGAATCACATTTTGCAGACACCATGTAAACAATAGGTGGTTAGTGTGAGAAATGCAGTGCCACCAAGGAGTCTCTACACTTGAATGTGGAGCATACACGTAGGTTAGTAGTGTATAACACAACCACAATGATATAATATGATCGTTTTAAAATTAAGTTACGTCCCACTCGTTAAGTAAAACAAGCCAAACTATTTGAGAGTTTTGCTTGTACTATACTGAATGTGGCTGCTGATTTTCATGACAACTACTCTCAAATTCTATGCCCACACCCTTTGTTAGGCGTCACTCAAGTAATTGTCTTAAGGCAGTTGATGTACCCGTTCATTCAAAAAGTAGTTTTTCGACACTAATTTACATTTAACAGAACCATATTCCCTTTCAGAAGACCATCGGACAACGGTCGACAACGAGCCTAAGTGACTGAACTAAGAAGCTATCAAGAGAGTTCTGATGAATGCACTTTTCGGAGCACCCTCAGAGTTAGTTGGTCATACTTATCAGGAGCCCTATACACTCAAGTTACAACAATGCATTAATAAGGGGTTGCTGAGATGTAAATGTCACACACTTTCGTAAATGTCAGCCCAACCTCTTACCATTCAAACTCAAACCATAATATAGAAGTAATATTCATCATGGACTGACATCAGTTGGGGAACCATTGGAAATCTGGGAGCACTGGACAGCTGTTTCGTCCTAGTATGGGACTCCTCAGCAGTACGCACCCACGACCCGGCTAGGGGTCGAACTCAGGATCTTCAGGTTCCACGGCGAATGCTCTAACCATTCAGCCACTGGGTCGGTTTCCGGTGGTTCATAATTTCCAACTTTTGTCAATTGACGACATAGTGCGACTGTCACCCACGGTCTTCAGTTAGCATCCACTTCACTTCCAACTGGTTGACCCCATACTAAGGACGAAGCAGCTGTCCAGTGCTCTCAGATTTTCAATGGTTCCCTGACTGATGTCAGTCTATGATGAATACTGCTTCTAAATTAAAAATCCCCATTCATCTCAAAAATACATCAAACCATAACAGTTTAGAATACAGTGGACAAGTAGGCAAGCTCAAGTTTTAGTTAATGAATTTCACTAGGAAATCTATTTTAGATGTTCACGAACAAGTTTTTAACAGCGTTTTGCAGGGAGGTTGGAAATTTGTGATTTACAACGGGTCGTTGATCAAAAACAAAGAACACAATTCAATACGGCAGGTGATGGGCCGACAGGTATTCAACTCGACCTCAAGCCAACCGACGTCTGGAACATGAAGTCAGTTGATTTCTGTAGTGTAGCACGTGACTTACATATACCAATAATCGTTGTAGGTTCGAATGCTCAGGCTTTAAGTAAATGTCCTAGATTAAACAGGTCACATGAAATGATGTTCAGTTGCCCCACAACTCATGCCCCAGTCGCACTGTCAAAGGTATATAATATCTAATTTCTTGTCCAGTTATCACCAGCGAAACCTCGCCTAGTTAACTAGTTCACTAGTTACTAGACGGTCCTAAGACTGCATAAAGAGGGAAGGTTGGGTATAGGACTAGCAACCCTACCCCGCAAAGCCAATCTAACCGCTAAAAAAACTTCAAAGCACAAACAAAATATAAAAAATAGAAATGAACTTATTCCTTGCTGGAATCAGGGAGACGAAATGACGCCGGTTGGTAATAGCCTTCAGAAAGCCAATTGCCTGATGTCTTCTCCTCTCTCGATGAAAGCAAAAGTAAACATGGGGATATAGAATGTCCGAACAGCGTTTAAAACTAGCTGGCAAGGCTGCCTAGATTGAAAAGAGATGAGAAGGTATGACACGAAAATGCTGGGAATCTGCAGATGGAACGGAAGTTGACTCTCCAAACTTTCAACTGGAGAGTCAGTAATTTACTCCGATATTGTCACCCAGGCGATAAACACAAACACACCGAGTTTTCGAGTGGCTATCATGATGTTCCCAAGAGCATCGAAGGCTCTCAGGCAATGCGAATCAATCTCCTCCAGTATCATGATCATGACAGCAAGATTCAACTCAAAAAAAGGAAAGTCACAATCACACAATGCTACGCTATGCACCTACAAACAATGCAGATCAAGAGAAGAAGAAGGAATTCTACTGCAATCAGTACTGGACAAGACCCCAATACAGTTGGCGACATCTAAATTCCAATGGCTGGGGTGAAATGAATGTCAAACAGGGAGCGGACAACACAGGAAGAGAACTCATCCATCATGGGTAGAGAAGCACTCAGTGGAATGAATGAGAATGGAGAACTGTTTGCAGACTTCTGCACATTCAACGATTTGGTGGTTGGAGTCAGGCAGTGTGTACAAACACAAGGATATTCACAGGGTGAGCGACATGAATTTCACCAGACACCAGGACACACTACACTAAAAATCAGATCGACTTCATCTCAATGTGAATAAAGTGGAGATGGAGACGCAGTCAGCCTACTGGACACAAGATCAGGTCACGAAGGGGAGCAGATGTAAGTGGTTCAGACCACTATCTACTGCAAGGAACCTACTCTCAAAATCAAGTTGAAAGCCTTCAAAGTAGTTGGTGAATGGCCACAGTTCAGGTTTAACACCCAGAAACTGAAGGACAAAACTACAAAGGACATCTTCACGTCAGTCAGTTATCAGGAAAAATGGGAGACATTAGACAACATCCACGAGGAAAGCTGTGTGGAAGAAGACTGGAACTCTTTGAAAGCAAGGTGGAAGGGAAGCTGCATAACCGTGTTAGGATGGAAGAAGAAACGAGACGAGGAATGGATCTCGAAGGATACATGGAAGCTGATAGAGGAGGGAGAGGAAGATGGAAGATGAACCAAGAAC